TCCAGCAATCTAGTACACATACACCGAAGTCCAGTTCATCCTGCCCTGACTACAAATTCACTTCCTCCAGAAACTCTTGCCAGTCCGGAACCATCCAGCTCAGAGCAGACAAACGACACCGGAACAACGACTCACCCTGAAAATGTTCCTAGATCACCAACTACCCGCATTCCAACAGATAAAGGGACCGACACCTTTGGTAAAGCATCGCATTCGCCTGAAAACGACAGAGCCGATCAAACAAAGGTACCACCCTCAAAATCCGAAAATGCAGGAAGTGATCAACGAAGAGGTCGATAGAATGCTGGACGAAGGCATCATCGAACCTTCTAACAGTCCATGGAGTTCGCCAGTTGTCATTGTTAAAAAGGAGGATGGAAAGCATCGGTTCTGCATAGATTTCCAGAAAGTGAACGATGTCACCGAGAAGGATGCGTATCCTTTACCGTTTATCAACTCCATATTAGATAAACTCCGGGAAGCTGAGTACATCTCCAGCTTAGACACAAGACAAGGGTATTGGCAGATACCGCTGACCAATGATAGCAAACCAATCACTGCTTTCACCGTACCGGGAAGAGGATTATTCCAGTGCAGAGTCATTCCTTTTGGACTTCATTCCGCTTCTGCAACATTCCAGAGGTTGATGGATCAAATCATTGGACCAGATATGGAACCATTTGCTTTTGCCTACTTGGACGATATCATTGTACTAGGCAAAACATTCGATGAACACCTGAGAAATCTCCAGCAAGTTTTCAACCGTTTATGGCAGGCTAACCTCCAGTTGAATCCAGAAAAATGTGTGTCTCACTTTTAATTGAAACACCCCCTTATCTTACGTAATCCTTTGGTTAGAATCCTGAAATTTGCTGGAGTGAGAGATACCAAAAATTTAGTCTATAACCAAGTGGGGTCATCTTCAGTGATATACACTGCTCGCCAATAGCCGTGGAACTACACACATGTTCGGAAAATAATATCGAGAGACAAGATTGAAAATCTCTTCGGATTCGAAAACAGGACGTCCAATGGGCGTGTACACCTTAGTAGAACTTTTAACTCAAACCATGTTTAGAATGATCCTTTTATACATAAATAATGATTGACGACATAATATATCCTTCGATCGAAAAATTAACTGGAATGTTTTATTTTTGGACATAAATAATAGTATCTTCTGAAAACGGACGATCTTATGACGTAAAAACCTCTCGCGATAGTTAAAAGAAAATACCAAAAGCCCGACGGAGACTGAGGCAACTGATATATTAATTCTTTCAACTGTGATCTCGCGCTAATTCACTCTGTCAGAAATCATGTATCATTCATCCCTGACTGAAATAGTCTTGTTTCAGTATTAGGGTTTTGACGTCACATCAGCGCCTCGTTTTCAGAGGTCCGAAAAATCGGGGATTTCAATAATTTTTTATAAAACGTAGGGAGCTCACAGCAAGAAACGGTTTGCGGTGGTGAGCTAGTTTGGGTGAGCTCTATCGAATTATGAAATAAATTTTTTTCGTGATATAAGCCCATTCACTAATTTCCCATATTTTGACGCATCATTAAACAATTTTCCTCATACTATTAACAAATTCATTCATTCATAATTCATTTCAATGACACCCGTCATGATTTCAAGATTCAATAAATTTTTTCTCCTGGGATGTCGGTAGTTCTGTGGCTGCTTTTCATTGGTCTCTTTCTTGGTCCTAAAAATTAATCCTCCTACATCAATAATTACGTAAGATACTGGGGTGCTTTCGTGAAAAGTGAGACAGAATTTATTATTTCAGAACTGAAATTTTTTCAGATTAGTGAATTAGATGTTCTATTTTCTGTTCTCGAATCCGAAGTTATTTTTGTACCCATCTTGCCTCCTCATATCATTTAAAAAACAAAAAACATTGCATGATAAGTGTAGTTTTACCTAGAATAATTTCGATCGAGTCGGCCTAGTCAGTTCGTTTTCCATCAACATCAACCATCAACGGTGGTACCATAGCATGTGGTGCAATTTATGGTGCATGCGATCAAATTCACAACATGTACCGGTACGACTCGAAGAAAGTGAGAGTGGAAGGTGTTGTAGACTGTAGACTGTGTAAAGACCGCCTGAGACCAGAGAGCGATCATGTTGAATACCTAAGTATGCCTAAGTGAATCAAGAGGTTTTGTCCGGTTTTACGTTTTACACACAGAGATACGACCTTCGTATACGAGGGACAAATAATAAATGAATTAACGCTATTTTTTCGCATTCTTCTCAAATACAGAATATAAGTACCCGAAATATTACAGCAAACTTCTTGGCAAACTCTGCTAACTGATATCCGTGTATGGCCCTCGAGCTACAAATCGCACCTTGGAAAAAATCTCGGAAAAAATCTTGCATTTCTGTCCCTTGATGTATAATGTACTTTTACATTCTGTTAATTCGACTTTACATCCTAAGTCACTTATGACAGATTAATGTGCAATATGACGCCCATCAAAACAAATGTCAATTCGTTTTTGTTTCCACCACGTTTCCACTGCCAAATAATTTTGAATTACAATTTCATCAAACTTTTACTAGGAATATATTTGTTAGCATTATTTAAAAAAACATATTTTTCCCTCGGAACTATGCGGAATACGAAATTTTCACAAGGGTAACAAAATGAAGATAATTAGTCAATAATCGTGCTCAAAAAAATTGAGAAGAGAAGTGTTATCCTCTGGAAGGATCTTTAGTCAAATTTCATCCAATTTGTTCCACTCATTTTTGAACAGCGCTCAAAAATATGTTTTTTATGCAAACTTTGAACTCATATCACGGACAAACGGTACATTTTTTTTATATAAATAATAACTGTATTACACGTGGTACCTCTCTGTGACCCAGCAATTTTGGGACACCCTGTATATTAGGATGATATTCTACAGAGTTATTAGATGGGACATGTATTCTGAAAAAAACTTAGTAAAGCTTTGAATCTTATATTCACAATAACAGTATTACCTACTTGCATTCAAACGGCAATAGGTTGACATTACCGTTAAGCTTGAGCAAACATGTATTTTCATGGTTATGAAAATCATGGATAGGCAGCGATTAAACATAGACCATTAATAGAAAACATGACGAAGTACATAATTACCAATTAATGATAATAGTATCTAACTGTCCAGCCATTTAATAACAATTATTTTATCGATTTGGCCACTAATTAATTGGCTGATAGGGAAATAAACACCGATATAGGTAGGTATAAACATACCTAAATAAAGATCACTCACCCATAGCGATATAATATAGGCAAATGATAGGTAATTTTACCTTGCAAAAAATCCAGTACTCGTTTTCACTATCGTTTTCTATATTTTTCGGGGTGCTGAATCCGAATCTGGAATTATCCAACAAAATTTCCACGCGCGTTTTCAAATACAGGGTTTCCCTCCGGGAACTGCATCAATCAATATATAGAAAACCATAAGTGGGCTGAATCTGATTATTTGGGAGTTGACTATTGTTGATAGTGCTATCCGGCGAAAATATCTTGAAGATTGTGGCATTTCCGGTTGTACCGGAAATGGACCCCAACTTCGTTATTTCAAATGTCATATACCCAAGTCTAACCATTTTTGAAATATTTCTAATTTTAAGTTGAAAATTGCGTTTGAAGACCGAAAAATATTCATTTTTATTTCTGGACATGATCATTTATCTTCGATTGTGTATCGATCTATTCGTAGGAGGGGACCCAGTTTAGGAGAATTTTGATATAAATTCGATTACAGTTATACAGGGCGTTCACCAGAAGATAATATAGATCCGGTTGAAGAAATTATTGTAAGTCAATTTTTTCAAATGGAAACCCCCCAATTTTATATTCTCATTCGATTCGGCATCGAAAATGAAGCTAACTTTGAATACCTACACTCAACAGTTTTCGGAATATTGGCGAATTAACATGTCTCAGTTCCAGAAAATCTCGTATTCTTGAGTTTACTTATTCTTAGTTGGCCATGGCGCCCGCAGTTGCGTTGAAAACAATCACCTGTCAATAGCTCCGAGAAAATGCATTCCAGTGGTATTACAAGTAGGGGCTACTATTGAAATGATATGCATTGGGGTGGTTGTGACTCAGGGGGTTGGTGGGGGTATTTCATGAGACATTTTATTTTCCACTTTACATATCATACAAACAGTTATGAACCATTCGTGATATGTATCTCATTTTGTACATGAGTTACATCAATTCTATAAGCTTTCAAATTGTCATCACCCTATATATGGCAAACCGGACATTGTATCAAAGGAAATCATATGAATCCTCATGTTGATGATCAAGATCCATAGTGTATCAAATGATTGGCCGATTCTAGCCGTTTGTTTTCAAGTTTTCAGTGATTGAGTGAAAAATCGAAATTCTGATATTTTCAATATTTGTCTATTCCCATGAATATTACCTTGTCATGATGGAATGCATTACCCTGTATGTGATATTCTGATCTATTCGAATAGAGGAATTCATTAGGTAAAGATTAGACGTGGAGCATTTATTTCTACTGAAGATATATCACGACTTAGAGCACAAAATTCAAATCGATGCAAAATATTCTAAACAGCCAGAATCAAATGATTGACACCCTGTAGCTCGAAAACTAGTCATAGGATAGATCTGTAAATTGGACTGTGTATTAGGGACGCAAATATCTAGTTCATCAAATATTCAATATACTATAATAGTGGAAAAATTTACAACCACTTACCAGTTGATAAGGTCAGAAGATCTGCTTGACTGTCAATTTGGGAAGAATGTCAAAATATTCCAATCTGATAGACCCTATTACAATTTTGCATACATTGTTCTGTAGTTTCATGTTAGAATTTAACAATTTTTCCACAATATCATCTGATCTAGCATTTATATCAAGATTTTTCTTCAGACAATAAAGCATAAATATATTGTCATCATAATTATTATTAAAATTCTCCGGGAACTCTATTGCAGAGCCACGCAATATCCTTCAACCGGAAGAGGTCACGCCTGCCCTGCCCTTGCCACGCTTTGCGACCACGCCCCCGACCACCTGTTGCAGCGCCACGCAAAGTCGTTCGTGGCCACGCCCCCGACCACTCCCCATCGCCACGCCCCGCGACCACGCTCCCGATCGCCGGCCCAATGCCAGGCCACGCCCCTTGATATGCTGGGCGTCGAACAGACCGCCGCAGCGGGTGGCGGCCTCGGCGTCGGACGCCACGCCCTCGCTTGGTTGCTGGGCCACGCCGACGTCTGGTATTTGCTGGTCAAGTGCGCGAACTTCGTCAACAAGCGACACGCCCGCGCCGCCGGCCATTTTCCGCAGAACACCGTCTCCATTTTGGAGAATTTGTTGATGCTCGACGAGGGCAACGACGAGGAAGAAGTCAACAGGGAGGAGCTGGACGACGACGAATACGATAATATCTATAGACAAGGTGAGTTTGGAGGAAAACACAACAGGTGGCACGTGAATGTATTAAATTGTATACAGGGTGGGTCACGGTGGAATGCCTAATAAAAGTATCTGGAGAACGAAAAAACAGAATTCTGAAAATTGGGATGCTTTGATAATTGAACATTCTCTATTCGTCTAAAATGTTTTCATCGATACAGTGTTGCCACTTCTATCAGAAACAACTAGCAACTTTGTTATTTTAAATGGAACACCCTGTATTTTATTGCATTTTTAGATTCTTCCTGAGGAGCTGATTTCATCGAAGTATCATAGTGGGGGTCAAGCAGAAATGCTTACAGAGATATAGGGTATTCAAAATCTAGATTTTTCAATTTTGAGATTTTTTTGTGTCGAAACTATTCATTATTGATCAATACGGCGTATATGTCCCTATTTCAACTTTTGATTCACTATCTACTGGAATTAAATTGAAAAAAAATACAGGGTGCTTCAAGATTCAGAATTCTGATCACCCTGTATCTGTTCCAATCAAATGTCAGTAGTTGGTGGATCGAAAGTCAAGATAAGATAGATAAGATAAGACCCTGATATCCTCAGATAAGAGAAAAATAATGGCGGCTATACAGGGTGTCCGGAAACGTCATGTCGTAATCGTAAATTATAGGGCTGATAAAAGTGAGCCAAAATAATGTCAGTACTTTATGTACACAAAATTGCTACCGCACTTCGTTACGAAGGTAATGACCTTGAAAGTTTGAATGAAAAAATATATTTCAAGAATAACTTTTAAACGGTTGCTGTGGTATCAATGATATTTAGGCAAGTCATACTTATGCTCCTTTCGAAATGTAAACGGCTGTTCAGTGATTATGTTTTATAGAGGATGAAACAAGTTTTTGCCGTTTAATGGGGGCATATTTGACAGAGGTGACAATTTTGCTTCCACCGTTTGATTCCTTCATCTTTTTTCGACAAAAATAGTATTATTTATCTAGTACCGTTCTAGAGAAAATCGCATTTTGAAAACATACATCCCAAACATTTCAAAGGTAATGAAAACCCTATTTATTCAATAACATCATGGTAGTTGCAGGGCTGATAAAGTGAGCAAAAGTAATGTCATATAAAAAAAAAGTTTTGCCGCACAACAGATTTCTCCTATCTGCCAACCCCCTGAAAGAATGTCTTACTGAATTCACCAAAATATAGAATGTCTAATACATCATGCAACAAACTCAGGGAGCAGCTTGATTTATTGAATACGAATGTGAAAGCTATACGTAACATCTGCCTGAACTTATGTCATGATTCAATAATATCATATTATTCTCTATTTCAGTAATTTATATCCATCCTCTATAGTCTATATTATCATGTCTATGTGATTACTTCCACTCTGTAAATGGTTTCTGTTGAGTGGTGTATGAATAAATAATGAACGAACGAACGAACGAACGAACGAACGAACGAACGAACGAACGAACGAACGAACGAACGAACGAACGAACGATATTCATAGGGAAAAAATATTGTTTTGATACTGAATTTGGAAACACCCTGTATAAAGTACGGACACTTGACGAATAGTGACAGTTAGACGAATGATTTTGAAGCAGATCACATGATATTGTTTTGCCAAAAAAGACCATGAATATGGTTATCACTTAGAAAAATGCTATTTATATCTACCAGCGAATTTTGCATGCTATATAGCTGAAACAAAATATTCCGTTTCAGCTTGCATCTGATTATCTTCATCCACCTGACAAATCTTTGTATTTATAACGTAAATATATTGTCAGTATCGCTTGGTTTTTTTTTTCATTCATTTATTTTTGCATAAAAAATTCATTGTGAATTTGCCACAAATAACAAAATCTTTTGAACTCGATATAAGTTTTCATGAAAGGTTTCCCAAAAAAACATAGTTATATATAGAAAGTATACTTCGTATTCTATCAATGTTATCCAGTTATTTGTTATGGCTGCAGTTAACATTGAACATTAAGAAGTTCAGATGGATTGATAGAATAAATTCTCACCTATTTTTAGATAGGTTAGGTACCAGTAAAATCACCTTGAAATTCTTGTTGCACCTGCAATTACAATATCCACCACATACAGTAAATATAATATTCACTTATGCAAATTTCAGTAAGTCAATCTCATTCAATTAATGTGTATAAGAACTCAAATATGTTTCAACAAACCAACATCAATATTATGCTGCGATATCCGATATGTGATAACAAATCTGTCAAGCCGGCAACCCCGAGCGCTTCTCTCCGAGTGCCTTCTAGATGTGGAATAAACAAAGATGGGTAGAAGATGGTGCGAGCACTAATTCGCTTACGACCAAGAAAATTTTTCTGGGTCAGTTCGACTCATTTATCTTTCTTATTATGACCGTTACAACTTTTTTCGAATTAAAAATGGTTCAACTCCAATGTGAAGAGGAACAAATATGAATATTTCGATTAATCATTGTTGAAATTATATTTCCGTCTACTCAATTCCGTTCGATGCACGTTGCTACTGTACAGTTTCATGAATATACGATGAGATTTCCAGTATTTCTGTTGAAAATACATTTTTCTGACTTCAGTAATTCAGAATCGATTAAACACCTCGGACTTTTAACTGAAACAACCGGCAACTGCGCGCGGCGGCTGCGCCTATGGGGGAGAAGGAAACAACAATTGAACGATTATTCGATATTTTATTGGATTTTCGAAAGATGGCGGCCGATCAGTAACCGGAGAAAGGTGCGACTTCTCTTTTTAGTGTATTATGATGTGATAAAAGCAGTTATTTTCTGAATAAAAACGAACGATGGCTATGTCAAATTTGTACTCGAAGATGAAACGTTCTCAGGACAACATGGCTGTAACGCAGACGAATGCTTGGATGAATGGTGAGGTCAAATTCAGAATTCATATTCAGATTTTTAGGAATAACAAGTAAATAATGAAATGTCAAGTGAAGGGAATTCATCAAATACTTCTACGATTCTTGAAAGGTGTCACGATATAATGGTGTAAGCACTGATCCACTTTTTCTTCAATAGCTATAGATACAGGGTGTATAACTTGTAACACCAAACTACCTATTTTGATAATATATCAATAAATTTGACGTTTTTGATAGGATTTAAATTCTTTTAGCATTCTACCTGTCAATGGGAATAGATCAAAATAATAAAACTGCACTTGTGATGGGTTTTTTCCCAATTTTTTTCTTGGTACTCACTCATTTTCGTCTGAAAAACACGAATTTCAAAATGAATTTGTGAAGAAACCGCTATCTATTGAGATATTGTACGAAAAAATGTGAAATTTCACAATGTTTTGCCACCTATCTTGGATATCCATTTACAACTATTTATCCTTCTTTTTCCATTATTGGACACTTTATAATTATACTCACGTTGTACTTCAATAACGCATTTTATTTCCTAAAATCAACAAGAAGTATGGTTTATTTGGACTTTGTGGTATGTATCATTGGATTCAAAAAATGATGCAGAATTCGAGAATGCAATAATCAGGGTGGCCAACTAAGAATCCAGAGTTCGATACCTCTGTTGTCTTGAGAGATACAAAAAAAAGTTTTTCATTCAAATTGAAGTGATAACCGAGCTTCACATTTCAAAATTTCTTTGAAATACACAGGGTGTCCCGTAAGGTCACAGCACATCAAAGCTATGTTTTTTTCATTGGAACACCCTATATTTCATTTCATTCGTGAATTCTCCCTGAAGATCTGATTTCAATGACGTATCATACTTAGGGTCTAGCAGTGAAACTTACTGACATATAGGGTGTGCAAAATCGAGATTTTCCAAGTTCAAATTATAAATTAAGATTTTTTGACCACCTTGTATCAATTTCAATTGAACACCAATTGATAGTGAGTGAAAAGTTGAGATAGGGATATGTAAACCGTTTTGACGAATAATGAACAGTTTCGACAGAAAAAAATTCTGAACTTGGAAAATCTCGATTTTGCACACCCTATATGTCAGTAATTTTCACTGCTAGACCTTAAGTATGATGGGTCGTTGAAATCAGATCTTCGGGGAGAATTCAAAAATTGAATAAAATATAGGGTGTTCCAATGAAAAAAACATAGCTTTGATGTGCTGTGACCTTAAGGATTACCCTGTGTATTTCAAAGAAATTTTGAAATGTGTAGCTCGATTATTACTTCAATTTTGATACATGACTTTTTTTTCTATCTCTCAAGACAGAGAAATCGAACTCTGGAGTCTTAGTTGGCCACCCTGTACATATGATTCCATTTGAAAATCGAATGTTACTGAAGAGGGTGTACCATGAATCATGATCCTGTTACACCTGTTAAACATACAGAGAAGTGCACAAAAAACGGCCAGGACTGTAACTTTCGAATTATTCGATATAGAGTTTTGAAGATTGGTGGGCAGCTAGTATACCAAATTGCTCATTAATTGACGAAACAATTTTTGTTTTATTACTTCCGATTTTACTGGAAACGACCCCAACTTTTGATTTTCAAATGGGACACCCTGTATTGTATTCCATAATCGGTTAGGGATTGTCATAACGAATTCATCGATACCGGGTTTGATAGGGTTATTTCAAACGATTACGCAGATATTCGCGTTCTAAGTTTCCATATGCTCAATGAGTGTGACAAAGAAAGAAGTTTTGATATTGCGAAGTCACACCCATTGAGCATATGGAAACTTCGAACGCGAATATCTTTGTAATCGTTTGAAATAACCCTATCAAATCCGGTATCGTTGAATTCGTCATGATAATCCCTAACCGATTATGGAATACAATACAGGGTGTCCCATTTAAAAATCGAAAGTTCGGGTCGTTTCGAAACTAGAAGTGATATAAGAAAAATTGTTTGATAAATCAATGAGCAATTTGGTATACTTGCTACCCACCAATGTTCAAAACCCTATCTAGAATAATTCGAAAGTTATAATCCTGGCCGTTTTTTGTGCACTTCTTTGTATATTTAGATCTGGATTTTGGGATCTGGATAATTGGTTGTAGCTTATCTTGTAATTATATTGTGGATTAAAGAAGTACCCATACTTAGTGAGGTAGGATCAAATGAGTATGTATGTACCTATTAATTTAATTACAGAAACGACGCAAATTAATAATAATTATATTTTATAGTTTTTCGATTTCAAATAATTGCTTGATGCCCTAATTTTAATAGCAATATCAATAAATACAAAAATATACCAAAATACTTATGTATTTTATTATTATTGAAAAGGAATATTCTCAGATATAATTATGAAAATAAAAAAATGGATATATTTATAAAGAAATACATTGACAATTCGCATTCTCTATGTGATGAAAATATCAATTCTCTCTCGGTCTATTCAAAAGAAAACAACTACTTTCCTGACTATATGCCACGACGAATATTGAATTACATCTATACATACACGATAAGAATTTGAAAACAAAATCTTCTGAAGTAGAGAATTTACATTCTCCTTCATATAAAGATTACATAATATAATTCTAAATATTCAACATGAAACAACTACTTTCCGGGCTGTTTGCCAAACAAGGGGTTTCAACTTGAACGATGGAAACTCGTTATTTTTATAGACCTCAATCGCAGATTCGTGATTAGGTTTTCTCAATTCAGAAGTTCTTTCCACGTCCTGTATGATGAATGTCAATTTATCATACATCCAAAAATATATTATTATTGTTATTGATTTCACATTTTGCTTACTTTCAGCTGAAACACTGAATAATGCCCCCCTCAGCCTATCGCCCCCACAACACGCAGCTTCCCCACCCAACAACCTTCAACATCAGCAGCGCGTTTCTGATCCACTACAGGTAATTCATAGTAATTTATGATAATAAGATTGAAATAATAAAATTATGAATCTGTATTGGTGGTTATTTTTTTATGCAAAATTTATCACACTGTCACTTCTGATCCTTTATTGACAGGATTTAGGTAAGTAGGTACATATTTTTGCAATTTGCATAAAATATTCCTTGATTTATGAGGAGATTTATTCTTATAAGAAAAAAGCACTAAATGAGTTAATCACTCTGAAAATTACAACCAAAATAAAGTATCAATCAAATTCTTAATATATCAATGAAGTATTTTTTAGTCATATCAGAGATTATACAGACTATCAATTATTCCATGAATTTCAGAGGCGTCCCAAAGGGCGAGTTGCTTAGGTATTTTTTTTTACTAAAAAAAATTGCAGAATGTTTGTCAATTTTCATAATGTTTTGAATGAAGTTGATTAATTTTTTTGCACCGGCGTACCCGGTGATTTTTGCAACTTTTGTTGTTGTTTCCGTCGGAGAATATCCTACTTAACTAACATCTCGAAATTTCAATTTTTTTGTCGAAATTTCGACCTCCATCTAGATATTTCGATTTTCGTGTTGAAATTTCGACTTGTAGTCCAAAATGTCTTCTTTCATGACGTCATTTTGACTTTTTTCGACTTTCATCGCGAAATTTTGGCATTTATCTAGAAATTTTTCATTTCATGTCAAAATTTTGACTTGTATCTCAAAAGTTCGTCTCTCATATCAACATTTTGACTTTCTTCGACTTTCAAGTCGAAATTTCGCCTTTTTAATTTTAACGAAATTTCGGCATTTTATCTCAAAATTTTGACTTTTATCTCAAAATTTCGCCTTTTATGTCGCCATTTCGATTTCTTATCTCGAATTTCGACGATTTTTCTCGAAATTCTGACTTAAAGTAGATATTTCGACTTTCATCTCGTGATTTAAAAATGTCAACTTTCGACTGAAAGAAAAACTGAATTCACGGCATTCATCTTGAAGTTTTTTAATTCATGTTCACATTTTGACTTCAATCTCAGAAGTTCATGTGGACAATTTGACTTTTTTCGACTTTTAAGTCAAAATTTCGACTTCATTCCCGAAATTTCGACGTTCATCTCGAAATTTCGGCATTTATCTCGAAATTTTTTATTTCATGGCAAAATTGACTTGTATTCCAAAATTGTGACTTTTTTCTCGAAATTTCGACTTTAATTTAATGTAGATAATACGACTTTCATCTCTCTCGGCATTTATCTCGAAATTTCCATTTTCATGTCGAAATTTTGACATCAATTTCCGTCGTTAATGTCAACATTTCGATTTTTTATCTCAAATTTTCTACTTTTAACGCGAATTTTCGATTTTTTTTCTCCAAATTCCGACTTTAATGTGAACATTTCGAGTTTCATCTCGAAATTTCGGTATTTATCTCGAAATTTTTCATTTTTGATCTCAAAATTTCGTTTTTATGTCGACATTTCGATATTTATTATCGCGCAATTTTTATTTTTTTTAACTTTTATCTCGTAATTTTGAAATTCTTTCATTCATCTCGAAATTTCGACTGAAAGAGCAGAAACTTCTAAGTTACGCCGTAGAAAATACAACTAGACCGATCTTTAGTTCAAAAAAGTTGCAGCTGTGAAATTTTTCATAATATGAGACATACTACAAGTGATAGCATCTTGCCGGAAATATTCGGCGATTGTTACGGCAGCTTGTTCTCTAATAATTTCGCGAATGGTTTATCAAAACTTTCGAACCGTAGGCAAAAAGTTTTAGAACAATGTAATGAGCCAAATTGAAGCAATAAGCTGGAGCAAGTCAATCGGCGGATACGAGGGAAAAAAAGGAACACGTGTTGTATTCGTTTGACTATTTCATGATTGAGATGATGAACGAGCGCCTCGCGACAGTTACGTACACTGCATCCATCATCATGGCTTCCAATATAATTGACGTTTTAAATGTCAAAAATTGTATGAAAACAAAGGTTGGTTGGTCACGTGTGGGTCATTTCGGCTTCTGTATTGGTAAAGTTGGATGATATTCAGTAAACAAAAAATATCACTGTTATACAGAAGAAACCGTTGAAATGGTCAATTCTGATTGTTTCTCGAAACATATCGACTTTTATCTCGAAAATTCTACTTTCGACTGAAAAAAATCAAAACCCACGGATTTCTCTAAATTTCGAATACATTTTTATTTTTATCTCGAACTTTCTGTGAAGATTTTGATTTTTTTCTCGAAATCCAACTTTTATGCCAAAATTTCGTATTTTTTGTCGACTTTTCGACTTTTATCTCGTAATTTCGACTTTCATCTCATAATCTGGAAACTCCTGCTTCCAAATAAAAACAAGGAATCTACGGTTTTAATCTCGACATTTCGACTTTTCAACCTTCGCGAAATTTTTACTTCTTTATTCTCAAAATTTGGACTCGAAATATCTACTTTCGACTGAAGAAAACCAAAACCCACGACATTTACCTCAGAATTTCGACGTATATGTCGAAATTTTGGCTTTCATCTAGAAATTTCAGCTTTTATGTCGACTTTTCGACTTATCTCGAAATTCTAAGGTGATTGTTGTTATTTGGTCTGATGGCCATTGAAACTATGGTAATAATATAACGATATCAGCGCCTCTTAAGGATTTTCTATGAACAAGAACCTTATAAGTGTCGTCAGTATTTTTCGTAGAATTTCACACTTCTCATTAGGGTTTGCAATCCCGAAATACCGATACCGTAAATCCCGGGTCCTAGTGATATTTTTCGGGATTAGTTGATCAATAAGACTTCGCTCTCGTCAAGTAAATCAGATTATTATTATTCGAAGTTCCTAAAAAACAGTTATTATGGAGATACTCGTGAGTCATATAAAACGTTTCTTAATAGTTTCAGAGGCAATAATTGATGAACAAGATGATGAGGAAGATAGAATTCCTCTTGCGAGTCAAGCGTCACCGAGTGTGTCACTGACTCAACCTCTACACTATAACATATCAAATTTAACAAAGGAAATTACCCTTTTCGAAAATGTTGACAACAAAGGTACATATCTTCTAACAACTATACCACCCACTAGTGTAGAATATGAAAGAGTATTTTCCGCAGCTGGTACCATTTGCACACCTTCACAAGTGGATTTTTGCACGCTCCTGGTTCTGTCGACAGGAATAAATGTTCGGCCTTTTTTCTTTCTACTTTTTGATGTAGAGCTTACATTTTTTGTTCATATACGAGAATTTATGTCATCATTACGTATCTACAGTATACCCCATACTTTCTTCAAATTCTAATCCCGATACCGAAAGCCCAGGATCCCGGGTTCGTATCAATTTGATCCCGGAATCCCAGGATTGTATTACTACTCCGGGATTGCAAACCCTACTTCCAATTCAGCCTCCCCTGTTAAAAGGAGCACGAGCCGCCACTGGACACAACGGAAGTGCTTTCAGTTCTTCGAAAAAAAAAAAGTAAAAATGTGGTGTAGGTAAGGAGTAAGTGAAATTCTTCAAATTGAAAAAAAAATGTTCAACCAGGTGACCCAGCCGGCCAGCGCCCCCGGATCGCCCCCTTCGAGCCCCTCGTGCCCCCTGTCCCCGCTCAGCCCCACCGCGCTGACCCCCGGGGGCACCTTGGACCCCAACTGGCAGGCCAACAAGGCGTCTGTCAGAGAGAGGAACGCCGCCATGTTCAATAACGATCTCATGGCGGACATCAGGTATGTTCTACTGAAATAGTTTTATCAATAACTGTTTAAAAAATCTGGCAACGTTGTAGTTGAAGTGAACTAAAATTGAGCACGCGCACATCATGAAACAAGTCGCATATCGCGTCACCCTAATTATAAAACCACATAACGCCAGTTTATTATGAAAAACCGATTATGATGCCATCTATTGGAAATGAGCCGAATACACATGTCCAGAAAGCCTAGTAACTCTACAGAATTCGTAAAGTATAAGGTACTTGTAACTCCAGAATTGTTGAAACCGATCATGACCTCGTAAGTCCCGACATCGTGCTCTTTCTAAACTCTATTTATTCAGTATGTCTTCAGGTATATTTTGAACCCCTAATTAACTATTTAATGAATCATCGATTTTTTCCTTCCAAACACAGTCTTATATTTTTTCCTGTAGATTTTGAATATGACAGAAAAACAATTGAACATCTCAAAAACAAGTTATGGTCAAGATGTATAAATTTTTAAATGGAACACCCTGTGTTTTATTGCATTTTTAGATCCTCCCTGAAGAGCTGATTTCATCGATCTGTCACAGTTGGGGTCTAGCTGAAATTATTACAGAGATATAGGGTGTGAAAAATTGAAATTTTTTCAACTTTAGGATTTTTTTGTGTCTAAACTATTCATTATTGGCCAAAAAGGTTTTCATGTCCCTATCTTAACTTTTGCTCCATTATCTGCTTACACATAATTAGTATTCGTTTAAATTAAATGTCAGTAGATAATGAAGCAAAAGTTAAGATAGGGACATGAAAACTTTTTTAGCCAATAATGAATAGTTTCGACACAAAAAATTACTAAAGTTGAAAAAATCTCAATTTTTCACACCCTATATCTCTGTAATAATTTCAGCTAGACCCCAACTGTGATAAATCGATGAAATCAGCTCTTCAGGGAGAATCTGATAAATTTTTTGAGGTGTTCAATTGTTTTTCTGTTAACATATTCAAAATCTACAGGAAAAATTATAAAAGGCTGTTCTTTGGAAACAAAAATTCGATGAAAAATAAAATAGTTGAGGAGGGGTTCAAAATATACTTGAAGACCCTGTACAGGATGTTCTCGAAGGAGAAGCATATTTTTTTCAACAAGATGTAGAACTCATCAAAGTAAACCATTTCACTAAAAACTACCAATATGAAGACAAGAAAACCTTGTATCTCAAGTTATTGTTATATTAAAATAATGAAGAGAACCTCGTAACTCTCAATTCATTGAAAAATCTTCACAAACACGTTTACAATTCATCAAATTATCAGTTCGTGAATTCGTTTGTTTTGAAATCAGGGTTATGGTCCTCCTGGACATTTTGTGCGTTCAGAATTAAAGTGGTTTTCTAAACTAGCATTCTCGTGTCATATACAATACAAATTAGTCAAACCCTGAGGAAGCTCGACGTATACTATCGAATTGCACCAAAAAAAAAGCAAGCTCAGTTGTTCTAATACATAGATAAGTTATTTCCTCTGAATAAAGAAAGATTTAATGTTGAAAGAACTGTTGTTCAGATGGCAGATGGCAGATCTCAATGGTTATGATATCAAAATACTAATAGATAAACTAATTCGTAGTCATAAATTCAAGTTAGACCTCCGAAATTCTACGACTCTTCAAGTGGATAGACACAATTCGAGAAGAATCACAATGCCGTTGAATCCGAGATTCAATCCCAAGTGTACAAAAGAACTTGATAAGGTTTCCAGAGACTCCAGAGACTTGAATTCGTATGTCAGTCTTGGTCAAAATCAGGCAATTTACGAAATTGGTTTTAATGATTGTGATAAAACAATATAGGCCTCATTAGGAGACCAATAAAAACAAGGTTCGAACACCTAGCAAATTTGAAATTTGGTCGATTAGATAAATTGAGTGTAGCCGAACACGTGTTCAATCACGATCATAACACATATTAACAACTTTAAATTACTCAAACAAGTTAATGCTGTTAAACAATTAGATGTATATAGGAAGTCTTTAAATATTTAGGAATAGTAATAGAGCTATCAAGGATAATGGACCTATCCCTCTGTATAGTTTAGTGATTCAGGATTAGTATTAACATGTGAATCTAACCATGACAGACATTGACTGCGCGGTTATCTATTATCCTCTTTATTTGGCCATTTTTTATTCGGCACTTTTCATTTGGAAATTTTTTGTGACGGCTTATTTTCACTGTTAACTGAAAACATTCTGTACCTATACACTCCTGGACTTGAATTATTTATTGTACTATTTTGACGACATAATGTAACTCAATATTTATTATTTTGGAAAATATCAATTAATAAATGCGGCAGCTAGTCATTAAAAAAGAAAACTGTAGGTTCTTCTTGTTCTTATTCTTGTAGTTTAGGAGTTTGGGTTATAATGGATTTTCAATGGTGGATGCTTGAATTATCTGTGCCTAAACTATGACAATCATTCGAATTGAATTAGTAATTGGGTAAATGAATCAACATACAAAATTATATACCTTTTAACTCATCCTTTATTTTTTTTAAGATTTTTAGTTGGTTCTCCTGGTTCGACCCAACTTATACCTGCCCACAAGTACGTTTTAGCTACAGGTAGTTCTGTGTTCTATGCTATGTTTTATGGAGGACTAGCAGAATGCAAAGAAGAAATTGAAGTGCCGGATGTAGAACCGTCAGCTTTCCTAACCCTACTCAAGTGAGTACATATTCATTTTGGGGTTTTCAATACTATCTAGTTGACAATAGAACTATTCCCTCACACAACAAGTTTCATTTTTTAACTAGATATACGGCCCAACGTTTCTCGTTATAAATATATCTAACAGTTCTTTTCAGAATTCTGAATCATGAACCACCCAGTATTTGTTCCGATTAAATATCAGTAAATAGTGAATCAAAAGTTGAGATTGGGACATGTGAGCCGTTTTGACCGATAATGAATTAATGAATAGTTTCAAGGAATCCTAATTTTTGATCCCGAAAACGCCCACTTACAAATTTTGAATAGAATCGGTATATAATTACAATACTCGTCCGCCATATTGGGTCCACCATCATGAATTTCCTAATTTTGACGAAAGAATCATAATCTCCGACCCCGAGAATCACCAGATACTGAATTTGAATAAAATCGGATCCTTATTACAAAATCCGCCATTTTGGATCCGCCACCTTAAATTTCATAATTTTGACGAAGGACTCATAATCCCCGATCACAAAAACCTCTAGGTACCAATTTTGAAATGGATCGGATTATAATTACAAAACTCGTCCGCCATATTGGTTCCGCCATCTTGAATTTCTAAATTCCGCCTGAAATTTCAAATTCTGACAAAATAATCATAATCTCCGACCCCGAAAACCTCCAGATACCAATTTTGAATAGAATCGGACCATAATTATTACAAAACTCGTCCGATATATTAGTCGTGGGTGATGCCTCGCTCACAAACTCACTCACTTCTCTGGAACACCGTAGAAAAGTTGGCGATCTGGCTCTATTTTATAGATATTTTCATGGACGATGCTCTTCCGAAATATCAACAATTGTACCTCCCTTGGCAGTCCCCGCGAGATTAACTCGTCGAATTGAGGCTTCGCACCCCTTCGTGGTCACTTTGGAGAACTGCAGAACATCTCTTTCCAAAGACTCGTTCATCCAACGAACAGCAAGGCTCTGGAACACATTGCCAAAGGAGGTGTTCCCCGAGGCATATAACCTCCAGAAATTCAAGAAGAACAACAATTCATACCTTATTTCCCTTGGTTCTCACGATGTTCTCTGAACATTACAGGATATCCCTTTTCGTGGGAACCAGAACATAAAAAAAAAACTGAATGAAAAATAAATAAATACACTCACCGGCAAAATAATCGATCCACTCAAAATATAGATAAAACTTGATCAACGATAACTTCGTTAATTCATGTCTGATTCGTTCAATTTTTTCTTTATTCCGTAGGTAAATTCATAAAGAATCACACACAATTTTGAGATTTTGAGAAATGAGGCATATCTTCAAATTATACAGAGTGACAAAAAAAGTGCATTTTTACTTCAATTTTAAAACAATCTCTGGAGTGGTTATGCTGGTATATCCTGTAATTTTTCATTTAATCATCGAGCTACGTTTATTACGTACGTTTTCTTTTTTTATTTGTTACGATAACTGCTTTTTTATGAAAGTTACAAGGGTTTCAAAAAAACGTTACATTCACACATTTTGGTGATAATAAACATTTCAAATTAAGCAATGAGGAACATAACCGACGTAACTAATGAAACCTGAAAATCATTTGAAAAATGCTAATGAACTTTCCCCCACGCGCACGAATAACTGCTGCAATTCATCTTGACATGCCTATTATCAGATTTTGAATATACACCTGATCGATTTGCTGCCATGCTTCAATTAACACTTCACTGAGTTGCTTTAAATTTGCAGGAGCTGGTAAACGAGATCGTACTCTTCTCCCGAGAGCATCCCAAACATGTTCAATTGGGTTCAAGTCGGGGCTTCGAGGAGGCAAATGCATTACTGCGAGTTTAACATCGGCTAAATACTCATTCACAATCCTTGCAACATGCGGTCGGGCATTGTCATGCATAAGCATGAAATCGTCTCCGATGAACGGCGCAAATAGATCAACATGTGGTTCTAAAACGCTCTTATATACCTATCAGCTGTCATGGACCCCCTTTCCACTATGACTAAGTACGTCTTAGCTTCAAAACTCACGCCACCCCACACCATTATCGAACCGCCTCCGTAACTCACTCTTGGCGAAAAATGGTTTTGGAGAAAACGTTCTCCAGTTCTTCTGTAAATTCTTTCACGTCCATCCGGTGATCTGAGACAAAACCTTGACTCATCGGTGAATAGGATATTGCTCCATTGTTCATTACCCCAATATTCGTGTTCCCTAGCATATCTGAGGCGATTAACTCGATGATTCCTGAATAACTCTGGACCAGTTGCAGGTCTACTTACTCGGAGTCCAATATCGAAAAGCCTCCTTCTTATTGCTCTATCGCTGACTTGAACTTGCCTCACCTCCTCTAATTGGTTTTTCAAATGAACAGAAGTAAGTCTTCTGTCCCTCAAAACTTTGAGAGTTATGAAGCGGTTATCTCGATCATTCGTAGATTTTTTCCGATCACTATTACCTCTTCTTGTGAATACACCAAATTCACGAAACCGTTTCACAGCCCTTTGCACCCTGGATCTTGAAACTCCCAAAGCTCTGGCCACATAATATTGAAATCTACCATCCTACACCAAAGCAATAGCTCTCGCAGAGTCGGTTGCAGAAAAATCCATATCTTATTCAACCATTCGATGATTAACACAAGCATACAAATTGTCAACTGACAGGTTTGTCACAGCCAGCTATGCAAAAAATGTCTTGAAGAACCTTGTTATTACCATAGAAAAAAATGTTGAAATGTAACGTTCTTCTGAAACCCTTGTAACTTCCACAAAAATGCAGTTATCCTAACAAATAAAAAAAGAAAATGTCCGTAATAAACGTAGCTTGATGATGGACTGAAAAATTACAGGATGTACCAGCTTAGCCACTCCAGAGATTGTTTCAAAATTGAAGTAAAAATGCACTTTTTTGTCACTCTGTATAATTTGAAGATATGCCTCATTTCTTGAAATCTCAACATTGTGTGTGATTCTTTATGAATTTACCTACAGAATAAAGAAAAAGTTGAACGAATCAGACATGAATTAACGAAGTTATCGTTGATCAAATTTCATCAATATTTTGAGTGGATCGATTATTTTGCCGGTGAGTGTATAATATCAGTATAGATGAATGCCTCCTTATTCCTCCCTCTTCCAGATACCTCTACTGCGACGACATCCAGCTGGAAGCCGACACCGTCCTCGCCACCCTCTACGTCGCCAAGAAGTACATCGTGCCGCACTTGGCGCGCGCCTGCGTCGCTTACCTCGAGACCAGCCTGACGGCGCGCAACGCCTGCCTGCTGCTCAGCCAGTCGCGGCTGTTCGAGGAGCCGGAGCTGATGCAGCGCTGCTGGGAGGTGATAGATGCGCAGGTAAGGTGCGCCGCACACTCGGTCTCGTGTCTGGACTTGAGCGAGGGCGCTGCGGACGCGAGGCCGCACAGGCGCCATTTCAGTTTCGGGTCGTGCATTGGCAACTAGGCTAAGGCTAGGACATGCTAGGAGTGCCTCGAACATCTCATTGTGCGCCCTTTGAAGAGTGTGGGCATGCATGTCACCACTGACATTTACTAATTGTCACCATTCTCAGATTCAAATCGTCTGTTCTGGAAATTGAATAGGCGTCCTAGCGAAAATGTTTCCGTTAACGAATTGCAAACATTCTAAGAATGATGGTTACTATTTATATTTGAGTTGCCCAAAGACGAGAAGACATTTCAAGTGTTTGTCAAAGCTTCAAATTCCAATATTCATTTCATGGCATTCAATGATGTAATATTGATTTATTTACAACCATATATGTAATGTTGTCATTACTAGAGTCCCTGTATATACCTTAGACAAGAGTCCGGACACAACTATACTTCTGTCCTTTTCTGTTTTCAAAAAATGCATTGATGATTGAACAAAGGAATAAGGCATATATATCGAGCTCTGTCTTTTCAATTCCCCTAGTATCAATGATTGTCAGAAACAATTTTGAGGGTAAGATAACGACGGAACTCTTTTTTTGAATAGATTGACTTCACAGCAGACTCTTTCAATTTGAAATCCATCAGCTTGAAAGAATCTCTATCAAAATGGGCCTAAAATTCATCTTTTTTGTACTATTTTTTCAAGTGAATTCGAATATTCACGTCACATATTGCGGATGTCTTGAAATTAATTTTCCATTCTGGACGTTTCATTGCATTCTTCCATGACATTATCTTTAAAGGATCATTCGGAAAATTGAATAACTTGAATCCCTTTTCTAATGAATTATCGCAATAATGTACGCAGCAGGACATTGGAATAATTTGAAATGCAAAATTTTGGCGGCGGTCATAAAATTTCAACGTGACAGTGACAGAAATTCGAAATAATTAAAAAAATCGGGCGGGACGATTATGGTGTTTCGTCACATTGTCAGGTGGGCAAACCAAATGAAACAAAATATTAAAAACCCCAACGGCTGTCAGTTTTGTGTCCGGACTCTTGTCTAAAGTATATACAGGGACTCTAGTCATTACTAACGTCGTTGAAGGTTGGGAAGTGTCATATTACACACCTCTACTTCCCGCCTCAATTATGTAATATTTCAGATATGTTCAGAACGAAACAGAGATTTATTAATTTTGATCGAAATATGATGGTTGTAAATAGAATAGTATACAAACCTCGGTAGGAAATTTCATTCCTGTCTCGATATAATAGCTAACCTCGACGCTTTGCGTCTCGGTTAACCAGCTAATCTCACGGCAGGAATGAATCAATTCCTACCTCAGTGTGTAATATACTATTACCTACGGCCACTATAGAAATTAGGCAAGAACACACCAGATACTGCCTCAGTAAGTAGCTCTTTACACACAGTAAGCACATAGCACAGTTTTAGGTTATTCCGCCAGTATAGGTATGTCATGATCGCGTAATCGCCGTCAACAGCGGATGATATAACTGTCAAGAATTATTATTCAGACTGTTTGTCCAAACTTTTTTTATGTACTATATGGCAGTAGGTAAAGTATAGTACGTAATGCGTGTTGTAAACCAAGCACTTTTCCATTCGTTCGTAATATGCTTCTTACAGCACATATTACATAATATACTATTAACTTCAAAATGGGCTTTATGTGCCAATGCTAGGGTTTCGAATAATACATAATAATAATAATAATTGAGGAGCTTTATTGGATACCCAAAAGGCCACCGATCGAGGTTCTTCAGCCTGTGTTACACAGTGATTATACATTGAGTTTAAATTCGTCATATGGAATTATCAAATTCACCAGTGTAAGAAAGAGAGAAAAGTAGAAAAGTCTATTGTGAGGCAAGAATTTTGAAGGAATTTCATAGCGTTTTCCACTCGTCGCACTAGCTCTAACTTTTTCGGCACTGCGTGCGTTTTGCGTGGTTTTGCACTGAGAATTTCAAGAGCGAACTTTTGTCGAGAAATGATTTCCACTGGCTCTCAAACTTGCTCCATGCCCGCTCAGAGTTCGAGTTTTCAGAACTGTGCTTGTATGACGGTGCGATACACATAACCTCAAATATTCGAGTCACGAGTGGGAAAATGTTTGGAATTTGAATAATTATGAATGTCTCATTGAAGTTTATTACTATTATTACAATAATTTCCGAAATCATAGATACTTTGGATAAAAGCGATGATGAAGAAATGATGATTGAGATACAGAAGTACTTCGTTACGAAACAGCGTTTACGGAAGATTCAAAATTACCTAAAAGTTAAAGAAAGCTATTCAGATGTGCAGGTATTAAACATATCTGATTGTTGATTCAGTAATGATGAAAAGTACTAACTTCGCGAACTACACTTCAATGCTATTGCATCATTATTGTCGAATGATTCAATTGAACATTATTGACAATGAACATTCACATATAAAACTGGCTGGTTTCTGGCAGTGTTCACAGGGTAACCCCAATAAGAGGTAGATAAATCCATTTCATGTGGATCAACGGAACCAAATGTACTTTCAATAATTCAACTTTTTGATTGACAAAACAAGTATTCGGACATTTCTGATAACAAGAAGGTCGCACCAACTCTCTATTTCTATTCCACTCCTCTGTGCTGGAACCGCACTTTATGGAAGAACCGTGCCAGTGCCACTTTTATGCGCTTTGTAAATCGGCGAGTGGAAAACGCTAACAGTCTTCTGAATTGATTGAACATTCCACTAGGTGTTTTCCGGAAACTTGCGCCTTGGGTTCACTGTTGGATCTCTCTGTAAATACTGGATTTGGATAATTTGGAGAATGAATTCGTTTTTGGAAAACTTCAAGGTTAGCTTCTTCAGTTTCTCAGAAATTGGTTGCACCATGGCCAGCCGATATAGAGGTTCGTTTGATGGATGGTGAAAGGGATTTTGAGGTTGCCGGAATTTGGTAATGGCTCTCAGGCAAGGTCTTTCTGCTACTTCCAAATTGTTCAGTGCCGTCTTCCTCATGTTTATGTATATTGGGTGAGCATACTCAAGAATTGGGCGGCAAATGGTTTTGTAAATATATGCTGTAGTCCTCGAATAATAATATGTCTGCACTCGTTCAATGAAAGGTTAGAGAAAAATGACATCTCATCTCTTATAAAACATATTTGTGTGTCATGTTTTTTGTTCAGCCGTTTATCAAAATGACAAGTGTGTTCACATTCTTTGAAGGGCGTGAAATGAGATGTTCCAGGCACTCTAGGACATGCTAGGACTGACTGGCGCGAGACGAGGCTGTTCGTGGCGATGATTTTTTCCATTTGTGTCGCTGGAGATGATAGACCGTCGTGTTCAAGATCATTGGAATCATTTTTATTTCTTCCTGAACTTATTTAAAGAGGTATAGGACAACAAAAGACACTTGCCACTTTTTAAGCTCTACAAAACTGCGTTGTGAGATTTTCCGTCGGACGTTTTGGTTGGGTGAAACCATCATCAGCTTTACCTCATGATAGACAGGACACACTGTTTATTCATGAGTTAACCCGATCTATACAGGGTGCTAAAAATTCGTGGCTAAGCATAGGGAAAGTTGCACCATTTCAAGCTCAACAAAATGCTGCTTTGAAATTGGAAACATTTCAATTATTTCCGGAGATATCCGGAAAAGAAGAAAAATATGCAAAATCGTTTTATTTATTCCTCAATTTATTTGAAAAGATATTTTGATATCTATTTTTTTATAATTGCCATTTTTTCTCCTCCACAAAATGGAATTGTCAAATTGTAAATCCGACGTTTCTTCTTCGAGAGGCCATCATTCACTTTATTATTTTAAATATGGACCTGGATTTTTCATTTAATTTCTCGATAGTTTTCGATAGTTAACTTATACATAAAATGAAACGTTTTGAGTTATAGTAGAAGAGCCGACTGCAGATTTCTACCATCATCTGATAACAAAATTTTACATGTCCCAAAGGAAAGTAAAGCACCTGTGCCAAACACTATTCTGGGAAAAATTGCACTTTCCTGTGCGGAAATGCGCACTCGATTTCGCGATTTCATAATTAGATAAGAATTATAATTATATGCTCCTATCATTCCGGACATACTTCCCATGTGATAACGAGTTGAAACAAAAAGCAAATGAAAGGGAAAAATGTCCCTTTTGCGAATATCCAAACGTGCCGCGATTCAAACTGATTTAAGTTAGTGGCAGAGCGTCAATATTTCCTTGAATATTTCGCCCTCGTCGAAAGATAATATCCGATGGACACTGGTTCATCGGATATTATCTTCAGAGTAGTAATTTGCAGCCGGCTCCTGGATTATTATCCTTGATTTTCTAGAAAAAGTGACATATCCAGCCTATCAAATGCATGCAATTTTTATGAGAATTGCAATTTTCAGTGATATCCAGTGATTTTATCGTGAATAATGAAGGTTAAATGGATCAATCACCATAATCACAACCACTAAGTGATTTCCAGGGTGTGCAGAAAAGTCAGTTCAAAAAGTCAATGTGAAACATTGAACATGTCAACTCCTTTCAAATGACAATCCCATTTTTTCTTCTCATAATTCAATTCTATTATTGATAAAAATGAGCCCTAGTTCCAATTTACTTCCTTAATTCCCTATGCGCGAGACCCATATTTTCAGAGATATTCCAAAAATGTCTTTCTAATATCCAAAATATGAAGATGTCTTCATCTCAAAATACGACACACTCTATAAACCCAAATTATCTCAACCCCAACAAGACTTTAGGCTCATATTTATTATTTTTAACATGCTTATATTAGCGTGGTATGTATGTTCGTAAATGAATTTTGAGCCACTTCAGAACGTCCGAATGGTAACAATGCATCAGGAAAGTTTTGTCAGACAAAAAACACGATGGCGAACGAATTCTGTAATTATGATCCGATTCTAT